CTTTAACAGAACTTTTAAGTTTGCAAAACACTTTACATACTTTAACTTGGGTCTATAGCTGTGATGTAGGCTCTATATATGTTATATAGATTATAGAAGCAGCCAAGTGGTGCAGTGAATAGAGTGCTGGGCCTTAGAGTCAGGAAGACTCATCTTCCTGAGTTCAAATCCAGCCTCACATACTTACTAGCTGTGTGAGCCTGGGCAAATCACTTAACTTTATTGGCCTCCGTTTCTTCATCTGTAAAAAATGAGTTGGAGGGGCAGTTAGGTGGCACAGTGGATAAAGCATTGGCCCTGAAGTCAGGAGGACCTGAGTTCAAATTCGGCCAAAGACCAAATGCTTGACACTTACTAGCTCTGTGACTCTGGGCAAGTCACTTAACCCCAATTGCCTAAAAAAAAAAATGAGTTGGAGAAGGAAATGGCAAACTACTACAGTATCTTCGACAAGAGAACTCCAAATGGGGTCACAAAGTATCAGACACCACTGAAACAATTGAAAACAATGTATTATAATCTCCATTTTATAGATGGGAAATAGAGGGTCATTGAGGATAATTATTTTGTCCAGTCACACAATAAGTGTCAGAAGCAGGATTTGAATCAAAAGTTTTCTTGCCTCCAGGTCCAACACTATGCTACTTAGCCTAAGAAAAAGATAATAAATTAAAATAAAGAGCAACAGTTATGATTCAGTGGTCATTAAAACTCACTAAATGTATAATTCCAACTTTGATTTACCAATCTCACTTTTAAAAGCAATGTTAAGGCATTCTAGTCAGTTGGAACCTTGTTTTCTTTCTTTTGAGTAGGTTTCTAGGTTTGATGGGTGATTAGCTAATAGCAAGAATTAATATTTAATAAGTATATTATTCCCACTGAACTCTGGAATCACATGTTATTTGGGTTCAGTGTGTGTATGGTGGAAATATATGGCTCACAGTCCTTCTAGTACTACTCAACAAATCAATTCAATAAAAATTTATTAAGTGCCTACTGTGCTAAGTGCTGGGAATACAGTAGGAGGCAAAAGACAGTCCTTGTCCTCAAGGAGCTTACAATCTAATGGGGAAGATGATATGCAAATAAATATGTACAAAGCAAGCTATGTACTGGATAAATTGGGAATAATTAAAAAAGGGAAAGCATTGGAATTAAGAGGGTCTAGGGAAGGCTTGCTATAGAAGGTGGGATTTTAGTTGGAACTTAAAGGAAGCCACGGAAGTCAGTAGGTAGAAAAGCGGAGGGAGAGTGTTCCAGGCATGGGAGATAATCAGAGAAAATGCCCAGAGCCAAGAGATGGAATCTCTTGTTTTTAGGACAGCCAGGAAGCCAATGTCACTGGATTAAAGAGTACATACCAGGGAGTAAGGTATAAGAACTGGAAAGGTAGGAGGAGGCTAGGTTATGAAGTGCTTTAAATGCCAAACAGAGTATTTTGTATTTGCTCATAGAGGAATAGGAAGCCATGGGAATTTATTGATTGTAGGGGTAGGGATGACACGATCAGATCTGTACTTTAGGAAAATCACTTTGGTGGCTGAATTGGAATGGGGAGACTTGAGGCTGGCAGACGCACTAGCAGGCTATTGTAATAACCTAGGTGTGAGGAGATAACTCCAGAGGCTGTTATCAGAGGAGAGAAGGGGACATATATATATGGATGATGTTGCAAAGGTGGAATTGGCAGGCTTTGGCAACACATTGAAAAGGGGGCTGAGAGATAGTGAGGAAGTCAGGATGACTTCTAGGTTGTGAGCTCAAGGGACTGAGAGGATGGTGTTGCCCTCAACATTAATAGAAAGGTAGGGAGAGAGGAAAGGATTAGGAGCCATAAGTCAAATTTGTGGTTCAGTTGTGTCCAACTTTGTGACCCCATTTTGGTCTTTTCTTGGCTTTTCTTGGCAAAGATACTAGAGTAGTTTGCCATTTCCTTCTCCAGTTCATTTTACAGGTGAGAAAACTGAGGCCAACAGGATTTAGTGATTTTTCCCAGAGTCACACAGCTAGTAAGTGCCTGAGGCCAGATTTTAACTCAGGAAGTCTCATCTTCCTGACTTCAGACCTGGCACTCTACTGCACCACCTAGCCGCATAAATCAAATAGCAAAGTATTTATTTGTAACAGAATAGCAAAGTAAGTAACAAGAAAAACTATGCAGTTAGAATTATTCTCAGTCCCCTTACAAAAATTAATATGGATTCCCGCAGGCTCGTGATCGTAGGAAAAGAAACAAATCCAAGGAAAACTTAGTTAACGGCTGCCTTATTTTATAACTGGGGAAACCTCTCCTGCCTGAATTGTCACAGCTCTGTCTCCCAGCAGCCAGCTGTGACTAGTGGCTTCTCATCTCTGCCTCCTAAAGCTTCTTGGCATAGTCCAACAATTTCCTTGCTCCAGTTGCTTTCCCTGCTTCTTTAGCAGTCATCAATGTCCTCTGTCCTCTCAGTCTCCTAAACAAGCATCTCTTACTTCTCTAATAGGATGCTGCTCTCAGAGGCCATCTGCTGAAATTTTCTCCTATTATTGCTACCTGCTGCTATTGTTGCTGCCTCTTCAGGTGAGTATCATTGCTATTTCTTTTTTTTTTTTTTTGGTTAGGCAATGGGGTTAAGTGACTTGCCCAGGGTCACACAGCCAGTAAGTGTTACATGTCTGAGGCCGGATTTGAACTCAGGTCCATCCTGAATCCAGGGCTGGTACTCTATCCACTGCACCACCTAGCTGCCCCAATCATTGCTATTTCAGAGTGACAGTACCCGGTCTGAATGCTTTGGGACCAATCAATACATTTTCAGGTCTGAATTTAATCTACCTTAAAGCCGCTTTACAAAAAGGCCACTCAAGTGGCTTTTTCTTCTTCCCTTCAGAGAAAGGTTCCCAGGCCCAACTCTTAACTGGGTTAGGGTAAATGAATTAATTCCTTTTACATCCCCCCAGCTTCACCCTATGGATTGCAAGAAAGTTCTGATTCAGGCTCAGGCCAGTCCTCTGGGAGTTCAGTTTAGATTCTGAAACAAAATGAAACACTCATAGAAGATCCAACAGTTGACAAAAATAGATTTACTTAGCCATAACAAGGGAAGGATATTCAACAAGGTCACAAAATGATTCAGCTCAGGGCAGGTTCTCTACCTCTGTATAGCCCATGGCTGTCAGCTGGGCAAATTTCAGGAGTTCCTCATGCTTTTTTGAACTCAAAAAACTTAAAGTCAATAGTCAAGCCTTTAGTTCCCAAAGGCAATCAAGTCTCAAGGACAGTTTTAATACCTCACATGGAAAACAACTAGCCTGGGCCACATGGTAGGGGACTCTAGTCTTCTTCAGGTATGAGTTAGACAAGATGGCCACTGAAGTCCCTCCTAACTCTGAAATTCTGTAATTCACACCTTAATACCCTTTCTTTAGGAATAAGGACTTGACCTGTGATTTAACTGGTATAGGGAACTCCCTGGGAAAGAAATGCCCTCTACCTAGGCAACTACTTGAATGTTATTTAGTCTTACAGAGTGGTCTAGAATACCAAAAGGATGAGTGCTTGCTGGGTGTGTGGCAGACACGGGTCTTGAACCCAATTTTTTCCTGGCTTTGTGGCCAGGATGACACCCTACATCTCATACCCTTTTTTCTTTGTGCCTTCTCAATTCCCATCATCCCACAAACAGTGATATGCAAATCATGGGAACTGATAAACCCCCAGAAGGAAGTGGAAGGCAAAAGGGGCAAGAGCCAAAAGATTTTGTTAGCATTCCAGCCTTTACAACAAATTTCAGGACTCCCTTTCGCAAATAATTAATCTAAGAAATAACATGAATACAGTACTTCGTAAACTCCCCAGGATAACCTTTTATAAAGAGAATACAAATGGCTATGTAAATGTAATGCAGTTTCAGAGAATTTAACAAATAGTCACAATGCAACAAACTTTCAGTTACTATGCTAGGCACTGAGTATACAAAGATATGTAAAATACAGACCTTATTATCAAGGAGCTTAGATGTCCACTATTCAGATACAGCGTAAACAAAGACATGGAAGCATAGAGGATTGCAAGTAGTCCAGTCTCGCTAGGCTATTGAGTACATGGAGGGAGGAATAGTGCAAGCTGAGGCTAGAAAAGTGGGATGACACCAGATTGTGGTGATAGTAAAGCCATTAAATAAGATAATGTATGTAAAGGACTTTGAAAAACTTGAAGTACCAAATACATGTTAACTATCATTGTTTATGACCTTGATTGTCAGGCAAAGAAGTCTGAACTTTACTTGTGAGGGAATAGGAAGCTACTAAAGGTTCTTAAGCAGGGGCAAGAAATAGCCAGGTCTATATAATAAGATGACAGGTCTATACATATGTCGAAGAGCGAGAGAGAGTGGAGGGACACAGGAAGATTTGTTAGAAAACTATTTCAATAGCTGAGGTAGGAAGCGATGAAAGTCTGTAGTGGGATGATTTTTGTTGTTGTTTAGTTTTCAGTAGTGAACTCTTTATGACTCTTGGTGACCCCATTTGGGGTTTTCTTGGCAAAGATATGGGAGTGGTTTGCCATTTCCTTCTCTAGTGTGTCCCTATTTTACAGCTGAGGAACTGAGGCAAATAGGAGTTAAATGACTTGCCCAGGGTCACACAACACTTAGTAAGTGTCTGAAGCCATATTTGAACTCAGGTCTTCCTAATTCCAAGTCCAGTGCTCTATCCACTAGGCCACCAAGCTCGGATGATGGCCAGGGGTAATGCTCACCTCAGGGTATGTTGTCACACTTGCTTATGTTTTGTACACACCATAGTGTGTTACCAAATGTGTTGTTAATCAGTTATCAAGCCTTGTTGATTCTACCCCTGTAATATTTCTCATATGCATCCCTTGCCACTGCCATCATCTCACCTAGGTGGCCCAGTGGGTAAAGCACTGGACTTGGAATTAGGAAGACCTGAGTTCAAATATGGCTTCAGACACTTACTAAGTGTCTGTGTGACCCTGGGCAAGTCACGGTGGATAAGCCACACCTATTCCATACCTCCATGGAGGTAAGTGTAAAATCTAATACTTAGAATGGGAATAAAAGGACCTGGCTTGAAATCCTGGTTCCTCTACTTACTACTTATATGACTATGGGTAAATCATTTATCCTCTGTGAGTCTCAGTTTCCCCATCTGTAAATGAAAAGGTTGGATTAAATTAAGGAGCCTTCCAGTCCTAAAATTCTCTGGGGCTTAGAGGTGTGAGTGAGAACATAGAGACAAGTAAACAAATAACTATGATACAGGAAAAGTGAAATAATTAAATGAAGGTACACGGAAAAAAATATGAGAAATTTTAAAAGAGAGTGATCACTTTTACCTGGGCATTCGAGGAAGGCTTTCAAGGAGAATGAAGCAGTGAATTGGGTTTTGAAGAAAGGGAGTGATTTTCACAGATGGAGATAAAAGAAGGGCGTATACATTTCAGGCAAAGGGAGTGAGTTTGAGCAAAGGCATGGAAATGGGAGGATTGGCCAGGCACAGTCCAGCTTGGCTAAAAAAGTGGAATATATGTAGAGCTCCAAGACGGGACAAGTGGGTTGGAGGGAGATTGTGAAGGGCCTTTAGGGAAAGCAGCCTACACAGTGGATAGGTAAATGGGAACTGTGTTTGTGCAAATGCCATGTGGTAAAGGGAAGAGGTGGAGAATTAACTAGAGAAGCCAAGAAGACTAGGGTTAGAACCCAGCTGTGCCTTGAAAAGCTGTGTGATGCTGAGCAAATCACTTAAACTCTGTGTGTGTTTTTCACGGAGTATTGCATGTAAATAAATTCGGATATGAAAAATAACTATCCCTTATCATCTATCATGAATCCATTTAGGCTCTGCCGACTCATGGAGTTTTCTTGGTCCTTGCAGTGGCCAATTAGCCCAGGCCTGAAAGAAACTGGTACAATCCAAAAGAAATTAGGTAGCAAGAAAGGAAAGATGTTAATGGAACAAATAAATGAGTTTCACAACTTAGCCACTTTGATAGCATCAGATGTCAAGTGGGGCACCGATAAGTGTGGGAAGAGATACTAGAAGGTCTTTAGATTTGGGTAATCTCAATCTATCTTCGAGGTTGATTTCTGACTCACCTATCCTTCCCCAGGAAAGGGGTGGGGAGGGCAGGATTCTCCAAAGACTCCACCCAGGGCAGAGGCCTTTAAACAAAGGCCATGAATGAATCACCATCTCCAGAAGAATTTTCTAAGTGGTGCTGGCACTATTCCAATTGGAAAGTTGAGGAAGACAACTTCTCCTATTTTTACATCTTCAGTGTCTTTCTTTCCCTTATCAAAACAAAACAAAACAAAACAATTGCTCAAGGTTGGATCTAATACACTCAACTTGTTCACACCGAAGTGTCAATGACTAATAAAGCTTAGTCTCACACAGTAGCAACCTCCCTCCCACTCAGGTTTGTACCTTTAATGCAGGTCAAAACCGTAAGCCAAAGGAATAAACCTTTTAGAATCATAGCTGTAGAGTGAATCTTAGAGGTAATCTATCAAACGAGATCATATTTGATCACATATATTAGCACAGTACCTGGAACAGAGAAGGAGCAATATATATGCTTATTCCCTTCCCTCCCTCTTGACTCATAGATAAGTAAAGTAAGGCCCAGAAAGTTAATTGACTGGGTCTTGAGCTCTAGCTGGAAGGAACCTGGAGAGATCTAACTCTAATCCCCTTGTTTTACAAGTGAGAAAACTAAGGCCCAGATAAGTTAAGGGACTTGACCAGAGTCACTCAAGTAGCAAGGGTCAAAGCCAGGAATCAAACCCCATTCATATGACACAGGCTACAGCTCTTTTCAAAAGGAGGAGGTATATTAGCGTGAAAAGAACACTGACTTCAAATTGCTAGGTATGTATCCCAAAGAGATCAAAGAAAAGGGGAAAGGACCTATTCGCACAAAAATATTTATAGCAACTCTTTTTGTGGTGGCAAAGAATTGGAAATTAAAGGAATGCCCATCAAATGGGGAATGGCTGAGCAAGTTGTGGTATATGAATGTAATGGAATACTATCGTGCTATAAGAAATGAAGAGCAGAGTTTCAGAAAAACATGGGAAGACTTATATGAACTGATACAAAGTGAAGGGAACAGAATCAGGAGAACATTGTATACAGTAATAGCAATTTTATGTGATGATCAATGATGAAAGACTTAGCTACTCTCTGATCAAGGTAATTCCAAAGGATCTATGGTGAAAAATGCTATCCACTTCCAGAGAGAAAACTGTTGAACTCTGAATGCAGATTGAAGCATATTTTTTTCAACTTTATTTATCTTGTTTTATTTTTTGTCTATGTTTTCTTTTGCAACGTGGCTAATGCTGAAATATGTTTTGTATTACTTCACATGTGTAATCAATATAAAATTGCTTGCCTTTTCAATGAGCAGGGAGAAGAAAGAGAGAGAGAGAGAGAGAGAGAGAGAGAGAGAGAGAGAGAGAGAGAGAGAGAGAATTTGGAACTCAGAATTTTAAAAAATGAATGTTAAAAAATTTTACATGTAATTGGAAAATATTTAATTAAATATATACACGTGCATGTGCATGTATACATATGCATACATAGACATACATATATACATATACACACATATACATACATGTACATATGCATATACGTATACATACATATACATATGTACATATACACATGTATATAAACATTGGCTTTGGTTTGAAACCCACCTCTGATGCTTACTATCCATGTGACCTCAGACGCACCACTAGACACTACCTGGGCCTCACTTTTATCACATGCAAAATAAGGGTTGGTTGGGTGAGATGTCCTCTGAGGGCCCTTCTAGCTCTACTCTAGGACCCTAAGATCCATCAAACATTGCCTTCTTTAGAAGTAGAACTTCAATCTTAGCCAATGAGTGAGAGAAGTCTTTAGCAAGAACTATAGATGTTTCCTGAGCAGGAGGCAATGCTAGATGCTTCAGTTTTCAAGGGGGGGGTAGAAGAATGCTCATTCTTAAGAGCTTAGTTGATAATATAGGATGCTTACATTATACAAATAGTACAAAGCTATAAACTCCAAATGCTGAATGAGTGGTACAAACAGGAAGTGCTACAGGGTGAGAGAGAGACTGCTGTACTTACATAACAAAAAAGTTTTCATGGAGGGGAGCCAAGCTGGGCCCTGAATGATGGGTTGAATTGAGACAGAAGAGAGGTTTGAGATGGGGAGAACATTCTAGGCAGGTAGAACGGCATAATCCTTTGACAGAAGATGAAAAAATGCAACATATATTACATATGTATATTGTGTAGAGTATACATATACATGCATATATGAGATGATGAGCAGAAAGTAGAGGGATAAGGACTGTGGATAGCCCTGAATGCAAAACTAGGGTTTTTAGATTTAATTCAGTATGCATCGCAAAACAGCAATAGCATACACCACACTCATTAATTGCACTTTTCGGTTTACAAAGCCCTATCCTGACAAAGGGGCAGCTAGGCAGTGCAGCAGATGGAGTGCTGGGCCTGGAGTCAGAAAGACTCATTTTCCTGAGTTCAAATCTGGCCTCACTAGCTGTGTGACCTTGGGAAAGATGGAAAAATGTAATATATATATCATATATACATATATATATTATATATATATATATAATATATATATAGAGAGAGAGAGATGTATACAGATATGTATACAGAAAGATCTCTATATGTGTGTATATGTATATTATGTGTAATACACACATTTTTGTTCTTCAGTCATTTCAGTGACATCCAAATCTTCATGACCCCATTTGGGGTTTCTTGGCAAAGATACTGGAGGGGTTTGCCATTTCCTTCTCCAATTCATTTTAAAGATGAGGAAACTGAGGCAAACAGGATTTGCCCAGGGTCACACAGCTAGTAAGTGTCTGAAGCCAGATTTGAACTCAGGTCTTCCTAATTCCAAGTCCAGTGCTTTACCCACTGGGCCACCTGTCTGCCCTAGATCTGCTTTTCAATGTTAATCTGGACTATGAGTGAAACTAGAGTTGCTGTTGAAACCATAAAAGGCTTATGAATAGGCTAAGCAGCTCTGTATTTTGCTTCCATATGAATCTGACCCCATGTCTACTGTTGTTCAGTCATTTCAGTTATTGACTCTTTGTGACCCCATTCAGGATTTTCTTTTACTGGAGTGGTTTGCCATTTCCTTCTCCAGATCATTTTACAGATGAGAAAACTGAGACAAACAGGGTTAAGTGATTTACCCAGGGTCACACAGCTATGTCTGAGGCCAGATTTGAACTGAGGAAGATGAGTCTTCCTGGCTCTAGACCTAGCCCTCTATTCACTGCACCTCCTAGCTGCCCTACTGCCCCTACTAAATGTAACTTCTATTTCCCAATTATACCACTGGGTAACAGCTGCTAAACTATCACCTTCTTTGGTTCACACGACAATAAAATATCATCGTGTGAAAATGGGCAGGACTGTTCCCGGGAGACATATAAATGACAAGAGGAAATCCAAAAACATAGAGGGTGGCAATAATAATTGCATGATTCCTCAGAACATTCGGCCATCATAAAGACTTTGACACAATAATCACAAGGGAAGCCATCCCTCCAGTCTGGGATGCTTATCGCAATGTGAGCAATCAGAGGGAATGGCCAAATGAAATGACCTTTCTAATGGCTGTTCTATCTGATTGTGAAGGCTCTGATGAAATGCTCAGCGCTGCTGGGACAGACGGAGGTATTCACTCATTGATCTCCCATTCTTTTTTTTTTCTTAATCAACCCCAGAGCACAGAAAATAATAGGTTCACAATCCTTTTATAAGCCTTTGCCCTTCTAAAGACATTCCACTGAAAAGCAGGACCCACCAGTGCTGTAGGGGAGGAGGAATACATTTGGGACCAGTGGGAGTGAAAGAAAAAAGAAAAAAAAGTCTCATTTTTATGGCTAGGCTATCCCCAGCTGTTTCCTCCTGGGTAAAACTAGATGATCTCTAAGCTTTCTTAGAACCTAACACATTATGACTCTTTGATCATACTACTAATAAAAGAGGATATTATATCATGCTTTAAGGTTGTTGTCTAGTTTTGTCTAATTCTTCATGACCCCATTTGGTATTTTCTTGGCTGAGATCTGAAGTGGTTTGCCATTTCCTTCTCCAACTCATTTTCCAGACAAGAAAACTGAGGCAAACGGGGTTTAGTGACTTGCCCAGGATCACACAGCTAGTAATTGTCTGAGGCTGCATTTGAACTCAGATCTTCCTAACTCCTGGCCCAGTATTCTGTCCATTGCCCACCCAGCTTTAACGTTAGTAAATCATTTTACAAGTATAAGGGAGGCTAAATGAGATAATGAATGTAAAGTACCTTGCAAACTTTAAAGTGCTATATAAATGCCTATCATTCTTATTATTGTTAATATTAGCCTCTAGTCCCCAGGCTTCCAGTCTGGTGATGATGTTATTCTCTAAGTCTTCTACTGCACTTCCTGCCAAGCTCAGGTTATGTTTATAGCAATAAAAAGGAGTTCTGGTAGATGTTTAACAACCAGGCTTTGAGGGAGGAGGGGAAAATGTATGCACACACTTTTAAGTTTAACACTTTCATAAGTCTAAAAAATCGATAAAACAATAAACCAAACCCCAGTTTGTAGCAATCGATGATTTCTGAGGCGTAAATGCTCACGATGAAAATTTAATCACGTGTTTTCCCAGGTTAGAGCTGGCTCCAGCACACTTGTTCCCCTCTCCCCCACCCCATGCCCTGGGAACATGGGCAGAGCAACTCTACCTCATTTTGGCCAAGAGACAGGATCTCTGGACCTCTCTAACTCATGAGGTTGATTCTGAGACTGGATATGTCTATCTTGGTGATTGATTGTTCTTTATTCACTTATGCTCAGGAAAGGAAATACGAAGCAGAAAAGCCCATCAGGAACCCCAAAAACCAGGATCGGCTCATATAGTTGAGCTCATGCTCTAGCTGCCACAGAGATGGATTTCTTAGCAACTCATGAAAAACCATTTACTAAATATTCAATGGAGGAATGAAATCATGGATCACTTGAAATTCTGAAGGCATGAAGGAAGGGTTTGAGAGTAGAATTGGACTCAGGATGTGTGGCTTAGGGAACAATCCCAACACTGAGGGCTGAGGAAGACCATGAGTCCAGGAAGATGAACAGCTTACTGCCCAGTGTGGTTGAGACCTCTGATGAGAGCATAGTACCTTGGTAATGAATACACACTTCTAGGTTTCCAGGGTGGAGGGAGCAGGGGCCCTTGTCACAGATCCAGAGCCAAGAGGAGCACTAGTACTTGCAGCTGCAGAAGAGCAGGGGTCCTTCCTGGGTAAAGAACAGAGCAGAGATCAGGAGAGCAGTGACCACTCCTCTCCCTGGATCACACCACCTTGGAAGCACTGAAAACTTGCAGACGCCCAGAAATAGCCTGAAAACAGAGGAAGATAAAGCCCAAAGCTTGGGACAGTGCCTCCCCAACTCCAAGTGAGCAGAGCTTAATTTTAACACTAAGTTCAAAGTCAAGAAATAGATTGAGAAAATCAGCAAACAACAAAAAAATAACTTGACCATAAAAAGCTACTATGGTGACAGGGAAGACCAAGACACAAACTCAGAAGAAGACAACAATAAGAAAAGAGCTATGACCAAAGCCTGAGAGAAAAATGCTATTTGTAAGAGTCATAGAAGGAAAATCAGGAAAAGAAATGAAAGTGATGCAAGAAATTATGAAAAGAGAACTAACACTTGGTTTAAAAAAAAAGGCACAAAAATACTGAAAAAAATAACACCTTAAAAATAGAATTGGCCTAATGATAAAAGACACAACTTCACTAAAGGGAAGAACTCCTTAAAAAGCAAAATTAGCTAAATGGAAAAGGAGGTACAAAAATTCACTGAAGAAAATAATTTCTTAAAAATTGGAAGTGGTTGGAGCAGCTAGGTGGCATAGTGCATACAGCACAGGCCCTGGAGTCAGGAGGACCCAAGTTCAAATCCGGCCTCAGGCACTTGACACGTACTAGCTGTGTGACACTGGGCAAGTCATTTAACCCCAATTGCCTAGAAAAAAAATTAGAATTGGTCAAGTGGAAGCTAGTGACTCCATGAGACATCAAGAAACAATAAAACAAAGTCAAAAGAATGAAAAAATAGAAGAAAATGTGAAATATCTCATTGGAAAAGCAGCTGGCCTGGAAAATAGGTTGAGGAGAAATAATTTAAGAATTATTAAACTACCTAAAAGCCATGATCAAAAAAAGAGCCTTGACATAATCCTTTAATAAATTATCAAGGAAAACTGCCCTGACACCTTAGATTCAGAGGACAAAGAATCCACCAATCACTTCCTGAAAGAGAGCCCCAAGATGAAAATGTCCAGGAATATCACAGTCAAATTCCAGAGCTTTCAGATCAAGAAGAAAATATTGCGAGCAGCCAGAAAGAAACAATTCAAATATCACAGAGCCCCAGTCAGAAACACACTAGATTTAGCAGCTTCCACATTAAACGATTGGAGGGCTTGGAAGATGATACTCCAGAAGGCAAAAGAGCTAGGATTACAACCAAGAATCACCTACCCAGCAAAACTGAGAATAATCCCTCAGGGGGGAAAATGGATATCTAATGAAATAGAGGACTTTCAATCATTCCTGATGAAAAAACCAGAGCTGAATATAAAATTTGACATTCAAACATAAGATGAAAAGAAACAAAAGTAAACACAAAATAGAAATCACAAGAGACTCAATAAAATTAAACTGTTTACATTCCTATATAGGAAGACAATAATGTAATACCTAAGAATTTTATCATTATTAGGGCAGTCTGAAGCAGTCAATATAGACAGAGGGCATACGTGTGCATCAATTATGTTGGGATGATCTAAAAAAAAATGAGGAGTGAGAAAGAAAGATGCACTGAAGGGGGAACGCAAAGGCAGAATAGGAAAAAGTATTTCACCAAAAAAAGAGTCAAAAAAGGAAGGGCTTTTACAGGGAAGGGGGAAATGAGGCAGGGTGGAAGGCAATGCTTGAACCTCGGTCTCATCAGAATTGGCTCAAAGGGGGAAGAATAGAATATTTGTGTATATATACATATATAATATATACATATACATACATACATACACATATACATACACACACACACACACACACACACACACACACACACACACATATATATCTATTTTGAGAGAGAGAGAGAGAGAGACAAAAGCTAGGAGCAGAGAAGCAACATCCCAGAGTCACAGCTTCTGGGAAGGGACTGCTACTTAATTTGAACTGAGATCTTAGATCTAGGTAGAACTGGAAGACACCTTAGAGGGCATCTAATCCCACCTCCTCATTTTACTGCTAAGAAAACTGAGGTCCACAGTGGTGAAATGACTTGTCCAAGGTCACAGAGAGTGACAAAATCAGGATTTTTAACTTTTGACTGGTGCCTCCAAGTTCTGTATTGCAAATCAGAAGAGACGCATGTCTCTGATTATGAGAGGATTTCAGAGATATCTTTGCTTGAAATAGGAGGTAGAATCTGAGGAGTTCCAAGAAGGGAATCCTAAAGCCCACTGGTATGGGAGTCTCTCCTCACTGGTGAAGGAAGATAAATGCCCCAGTGGAACATAAAGGGAGGGGTGAAGTTGATGAGAGGAGGAGAGAGGAGAGCACCAAGGTCTTCAAGTCCTTTCAGTTTCTTTGGGCTCTGTGATTACTTCAGGAGCTTCTAACTTCCAACTTTGAGAGAGAAGATGGATTAGGCCAACATCACTGCAGGTTGCTCAATGACTTTGGGAAGAAGTTGACATAGTCTCCATCATGTCCAGGTTGCTAGACTAAAGACTTTGGGGGATTTCCCCTTTGGGTGACATATGCAACTCACTTTCTTTTGATTGAATGTAGTTATCTAGCTTCCAACTCAAAAGCTCCTTCATTCTGTATTGTCTCGTATACCTTCTAGTCTAGTATAACTTCTCATATATATACTTTCTCTGATTTCTGTTTTCCTATTAATTTGAATAAATGAGTTTCTTTGCTATATGCTATTGTGAGAAATAATTAATTTGGACCCCTACTCTATCCCAATCAGTATTAATCAGTTTGATATTCTACGTAAGTCATATAAGGATAGATAGGTTCTTAGAGTGGGCCTCAAACTTTTAACATATTGTTTACTACTTGTTTAGCAAGTTATGAGGCTCACTTCCACAACCACGAGAATGCTGACAAAGATATCTCCAACCTGTTTTACTCAGATTCCATGTCCAAATCCAGCATAGGTAGGATGCTTAATGCTTTGGAAAGTTCTCCAGTTTATTTTGTACCTCTAGACTGTCCTTTCCTGTCCAACACAAACAGGTGACCATCTCATGATACTTAGTCAGTGGAAATGTCCCATGCTTCAACCAACCTAATATGTAATGTTTGACCCCCGAGAGCAAGGTCTATCAACCAATCAGATTCTATATTTTGCCATGCCTTTTCTGCATATTTGGGTATCAAACCCTATTAAAAACCAGGTACTAGAAGAAGGGAGCATCTCAAATGGTGAGGAAGATCTGAGGTCCACTTCATTAGAGGGGACCATTGACCCTTTAAAAAAGTACCATTGGCTTGGAGATCTGCCTCAGTCTCTTTTATTGTAGATCGGACAATTTTAATCCCTATACTATATGTGTTATATATATGCTATATGTATGCCCATTATGAACTGGTATTTGTTGGGAAAGGGGTCAAGTCTTGGATATAGACCGTAGGGTCTTTCTTTTCCCCATTAAGAAACAGCTATCAGAAGTTTAGCTTGAACCTGAAAACCACAATCCCTAAAATAACAATATTTAAGGGAGCAGAAAGACATAATTCTAGCCCAATGTCCTTTTCTCTGAGGAGAAGAGAATGGGCAAGGTTCTGGCCTTAACCTCCTTCTTGCCCTCCTGGCAGGAACTAAAGTCTTCCTTGGAGAAGCATAGAGGGAGAAGAGGTTAGAGTTATCTATTCTGTCTCCCCTCAAGCCACACAATGACATCTCTGTGGGACATATGGGGAGAGAGTCTTTATTACACAAGCTTTGAGGATAAGCAAGAGATAAAGGGCAGAACGAATCTTCAGATGGCTAGACTGAAGCATCTAGAACCAAATGAGCCTTGAGCAAGTCTGTCCCTGTATTACCAATTTGTATGCACAATTAATTATCCCTTCCACATCACAGGGGTTCAGGGCATAACAACCCCACAATATGGGAAAGCCCTGTAAAATTCCTTTCGGACCAGAAAAGAAATTGTGTATATTTATGGTATTAAAAGATAAAATATTGGGGCAGCTAGGTGGCACAGAGGATAGAGCACTGGCCCTGAAGTCAGGAGCACCTGAGTTCAAATCCGGCCTCAGACCAAACACTTGATACTTACTAGCTGTGTGACCCTGGGCAAATCACTTAACCCGAATTACCTAAAAAAAAAAAAAAGAGATAAAATATGTTGATATGATACAGTACTATACATATATTTTATGCATTTCTAAATTTCTGAACTTCTCCTGTGTCAGCTGCTGGCCTTCACGTGTCATCTGCGACTTCTGTAAAACTTCCAAAAAAATTCTCATTGTATTTCTCACGCTGACCCACCATATATCAAACCTGCAATGGGGAAAATTGCAATGTGGAAGGGATAACTGTAATGCCTCTGACTCCCATAGCCAGACATCAATTAAACTCAGACACCTTTCAGGAAGGAAAGGAAAGCAGCCTCTCTCTGGTGGTGTCCACAGGTCTCGGGTTTTATATATATGTAGTTTGTAACTCGGGCCACTGGTGGTGCAATGGTCAGAGTGCTGGGCCTGGAGTCAGGAAGACTCATCTTGAGTTCAAATCTAACCTTAGACAGTACTAACTGTGTGACCCTGGGCAAGTCACTTAACCCTGTTTGCCTCAGTTTCCCCATCTGTAAAATGAGCTGGAGAGGAAATGGCAGACTGTTCAGTATCTTTGCCAAGAAAACCCCAAATGGGTTCACAAAATATTTGACACAACTGAAACAGCTGAGCAGCAGCTGATTAAGTTCTCAGACCCATAGAGAAAGTGGCTGAGATTCAGGACACCTGGGTTCTAATAATAACTGACATTTATATCATTCTTTAAAGTTTGCAAATAATTTTACAGACAGTATTTCCACATGATCTTTGTGACAACTCTGTGTGGTAAATCCTACATGGGCAGAAGAGGCAATCTGATTTTGTGGATAAATAGAGTGGACTTTGAGTCAGGAGAACACTCATTAGCTGTGCAAACCTGGGCAAGTTATTTAAACTCTCTCAGCAGCCTCAGTTTCCTCATTTATAAAATGGAGATAATGATATTTGTAGCATTTACCTCTCAGAGTTTATTGTAAGGTTCAAATGTGATAATATATATAAAGCACTTTGTAAACCTTCAGATGGGGCTAGCTAGGTAGTGCAGGGAATAGTGTGTCAGGCCTGTAATCAGGAAGACTGAGTTCAAATCTGCCTCAGACACTTACTAGCTGTGTGACTTTGTACATGTCACTTAACCCTGTTTGCCTCAATTTCTTATCTGTAAAATGAGCTGGAGAGAAAATGGCAAACCACTCCAGTATCTTTGCCAAGAAAACCCCAAATGGGGTCACAAAGAGTTTGATATGAATGCAAATGAATAAACAGCAACACCAAACCTTCAACTACTACAAGAATGTTAGTTTTTATTACCTTCCCCATTTTTTTCAGATGAGGAAACTGAGATTGAGGAAAGTTAAGCGATTCACCCAGTGTCACACAGCTAACAAGTTGTGAGACCGTATTTGAACACATCTTCCAGATTGTCTTCACTGTGGCAATCCAAGCCCCACGTTAGACACTAACAGCTGTATAACAGCACTGCCTATTTCTGGGACCTATTTTCCCATCTATAAAATGCAAGAGATGATTTCTAACAAAAGTCTGTATAACTCTAAGAGAAGAGTGATTTAATTATCTCAAGGACCCAAGAAAGCAGAACTAAGATTTTTATTTCTGGAAGTCCATTGGACAAGGGTTTGTTTTTTCCTCTACTGAATCATAGATGACGTGTGTGATCAAACTGTTTTCTTAACCTTGTCTCAGCCTGAATTTTCTGTGGGCAGACACTGCTTTTAAATATAGAATTCCTCAAATTCCATGGGAATTCGCCCAGCTTCTGGCCTGCATTCCAAACCACCCCCACTCTGAACCTCAGGAAAACAATAGCTTACTCTCAGGAACTGTGGCTATTTGATTTGAATCAAATTAATTGTGTAATGTTTGGAATGCTGGCAAAGCTTCCTAGCAATTTAATCTATCTATCACACCAGTCCATCATCCTCTGTGGGCTCTGATCCAGGGTTATATATGTGACAGGGCTGTAGGCTTAGGGATACAGGTTAATCAAGTACTCCTCCTTCTACTCAACACACACAAAATAGGAAAACATCTGATCCAAACATTTCAGCCAAATTTGACTTCTTTCTTCTTTTTTCTTTTGGGGCCAGACCAAAAATTTGAGCAATATAAGGAACTCTGAGTGTGGCAGCCTCTTCCATCAACAAAGGTCAGCAACTTATCCATAACTTTTAGAGTTGCCTGGGAAGCTGAGAGGTTAACTACCTTGCCCATGATCACACAGCAAGTAAGTCAGAGGCAGAATCTGAACACAGGCCTTTCTGATTTCCTGGTTTATTTTGCTTTAAAATCCTGTGGCTGTTAGTTCTCCTCCCAGAAGGCATGAGAGATTTAAACTTACAAAGGAACTCATTTCTCTTCAGTCACTCCAGCTGCAGAATTTCTATCATATGACACATGTGTCTTCTCAAATAAAAACACAACCAGAAAAACATAAAGAACCCCCCCACCCATCTTTTCCATTCCTCGATTAAAATGCACTCCCCCAGGTATTGCTATAAATTATTATTACCTTCAGCTGGTATCTGATTTTGAGAAGTTCTTGCTAACAAAAAGGTCCAAGGACTGATGACAGCAACTGGCTGTCCTCGGGAAATTACATGCAACCTTTGCCCCTATCTTTTACTCTAACCAATAACCAATTTTTTTAAAAGGCTCATTATATGAAAAGGACCTTAGAGATCATTTAGTCTGAGGAAACTGAGGCTCAGAGATTAAATGACTTGCTGAACACCAGATGAGCAGTAAGAAACAAGGCTAGGATTTATTCTGGTGCTCTCTGTTCCAAATCCACTGCTCTTTCTCAAAATCCGCATGGTAGCTCTTGAATACTATGCAACTAGATGGCAAAGTAGATAGAGGAGTTGGAAAGACTAAAGTTCAAATCTGACATTGGACCGTGGGAAAGTCATTTAACCTCAGTCTGCCTCAGTTTCTTCAACTGTAAAATGGGGATAGTAATAGCACCTGTTTCCCATGATTGCTGTGAGGATTGAGAGATAAAATTTATGAAGTCACTTGCAAACCTTAAGGCACTTATATAAACACTAGTCTATTATGACTGATGTGGGTCAAAAAACTCTAGGGTCTGAAGGGAACTCAAAAGACATCTAGTCTAAATTTTCATTTCATAGGGCTGCAAAGTGACTTTTCCGAGGCAACTAAGCCTTGTACTCCCACATAGGCAGTATCAAGAGAGAATTTGAACCGAGGTTCTCTGCCTCAAGAGACTTTCCACTTTATCAAACTCCTTCTGAATGAGTCTACAATCCCCAAAGGAATTGACCAAAGTCATTCTATCCGTCAGATGCAGGGCTGAAGAAAATCATAACAAAAGAATCTATCATTTCTTTGTGTGTGTGTGTGTGTGTGTGTGTGTGTGTGTGTGTGTGTGTGTGTCTGTCTGTCTGTCTGTCTCTGTCTCTGTCTCTCTCTGTCTCTGTCTCTCCCTCCCCCCCCTCTGTCTCTCTCTCTCTGTCTGTCTCAGACACTCACTAGTTGTTTGACCCTGGGTAAGCCACTTAACCCTGTTTGCCTCAGTTTCCTCAACTGTAAAATGAGCTGGAGAAGGAAATGGCAAGCTGCTTTAGTATCTTTGCCAAGAAAACCCCAAAATGAGTCACAAAAAGTTGGACAGGACTGAAAGACAACTGAAGAACAACACCAACTCCATTAGGAGCTAGGTTCTTCCTTGACTGCTGGTCTGACTGGACTACCTGCTAATCAGCAGGGTCACTGTTTCAACAGGTTATTGGGACCTGGCTGCTCATTTCTTGACCAATAGCTGGCCTGTTTCAATCGACTGAAGAAAAACTTCTTTATACTTTGTAATAGGTATAGACATGTCTTTACAATTCATCTGACACCTTGTTATCAGGTTGAGAGTAACCAGCAGTCCTCAAACCCATGGGTGAGTTAGGGGGATGACTTTCCCCAGAAGACAGATTAGAACAATTTATTCCAACAACCATGAAGGCAGTTGAAGCTAAGCCTGGAGCACTTGGAGCTTGGTCAGACATAGACAACGCCAAGGTCATTCGCGGCATCCTGGGCCAGCCAGTCATCCTGACCTTACTCCTGCCACTGGGCTTGGATGACTCTGGAAGAGAGAGTGAAACTGAGGACTTTGTGCAGCTCTACCTCACTTAAGTCCAAGTCATGCACAAGTCAAGACATCAGCCTTGAATACACTGGTCCTCTTTGAAAACAAAAGACGAACGACACCACCTTGTTACCAGCTCATTTCTATTTCAGATGAAATCCCTGACTTCCTGGGTTAGAGGGTTTGTCAGAGAGCGGTTTCCGACAGCAACATCAAAACAAGAATTAATTAAGCACTTACTAAGTGGTAAGCACACAGAAATTAAATAGTCTCTGCCCTCCAGAAGCTTACATTCTCTCAAGGGAGACAGTGGATGTGTGTGTATTGTGCAGAGTAGCTAGATGGCACAATGGATAGAGTCAGATGGAGTTAGAAGGACTCATCTTCCTGAATTCAAATCTGGCCTCGGATACTTACTGCTAGCTGTGTGATCCTGGGCAAATCACTTAACCCTGTTTGCCTCAGTTTCCTGATCTATAAAATGAGCTGGAAAAGGAAATGTCAAACTGCTCCAGTATCTTTGCCAAGAAAACCCCAAATGGGGTGACCAAGAGTTAGACACAACTGAAACAAGTGAACAGCAGTAACTATATATATATATTTGGAGTTGGTCTTGGATATCGCTGGATAGCTCCCCTTTCTACACCTGGAGCCCTCTGTTGTAATGTTACCACTGCCTGAGCCTCCCCAGTCTTCTCCATGGTGTACAACTTAGGTCACAACTTCAGAGGCTCAGCCTTCCATGAGACTCCCTACCTCTTCTGCTCCTCCCCAGCACTTCAGTACTTCAGTGCTGCCCAGTGTCGGAATTTCAATTCCCTTGCTGTTGCTACTTTGAAAGCCGTCTTTATTTCAGGTTGAATATATACATGTATACATATACGGACTTGGATATGGATATAGATATAGATGTGGGTGT